GGGCCATCTACCACCCCCCTCCTCTCTCCACCAAGTGCACGCACCCTATAGAAAAACTTCTAAAAAATAGCTTCAGAGAAAAGAAAAATAATAATAACCCACATGGCCTACCATGGTTTGAGTCCCAGACCTGGCGGCTTGCTTTCTCAGTTTCTCTCTCTCTTACTCTGCTTCTCTCTAGGCAAATTAAAATAAATAAATAAAGTTGAATAAAATAATTCTTTAGGGGAATAAAAAGAAAGAGAAAAAAAATCCTTCAGGAACTGGGCCAGCAGGTGGTGTGACAGTTAAAGTGGTGGACTCCCACATAGCAGATCACATTTCGAGTCCCAGACCTGGCAGCTTGCTTTCTCACGTTCCCTGTCTCTTTCTCTTTCTGGTGAGCACATGTGCCTCGTAGCAAATTTTTAAAATAATATTAATAATGATAAATAAAATTAAATAATTCTTTTAAAAAACATTGTTCAGGAACCACCAGAGGAGCTGGAGACTCAACTACACCCGTATCTAACCACTGCCTCGCCTGGCCCAGCCGAGCCAGACCCGGGGTTGCCACAAAGTCCCCGCCCTTCCTGGAGCAGTGACTCCCAGAGCCTGGCTCCTCAGGCTCAGGAGACCCGAAGGAGCCATGACGGGGTGGTGCTTGTTTCCATTCTGCAGGGAAGGGAAGCAGGGACTCAGAAAGCCTCCCTCTACCACTCCACCCACCCCACCGGCTCCCCAGGGACCTGGCCACACCAGCTGAAGAGGGAGATGACCTAGCCACCCTGGGCAGGCATCCCAAGGGCTGGGCACAACCTCTGCTCAGAAAACCTAGCACATAAAAAACCCTCATCCTCAGCTCACCAGTGCCAAAGACCAGACTTTATTGAAGCGTTTGACACAACCCCCTCCCCCCACAGTTCCAGCCCTGCAGCCACGGACAGAGCCCCCCTGCAACTGCACCAGGCGTTGTACAGGACCAATAAGTTAATACAAAGGATGCTCAGGTGGGGGGCAGGAGGCCAGTGCTGAGGTCCCCTGACTCAGCCCAAGAGCTCTAGGCTCCAAGGGAAACACTGGGGCAGTGTTTGGGGTGCAGTGGTGGGGGCGCAGCTGCACACTGCGGACAGGGGCTTCCGAGACAGACCGGAAGAAAACAACATCCAAAGTAGGGCATTCAAACATAATGGGGCGGAGCAGGGGGTGCCGATCCAAAGGTGGGACTGCTGCAGAGCTGGTGTAAGACACGTGAGACCCCGTGGGCACGGCGCCCAGGCTCCTGGCCATCTCATCCTTCCCGCGGCAACCATACAAGTGGCTGCGTGGCTTTCTTCCCAGGTGTGAGGGCAGCGTCTTTTCAGGGTCAGGCAGCAAAGTTCCGGAGCCTTCCACTATATTCATAGCCATGTTCCAGTCCAGGGAACTTGGGAGGGAGAGTTCCACAGGTGGTCGGTTCTCAGCCCTCCCTACTCCTCCAGGCCCCGGCTCAGTTGCTTTCAGAAGTAGGATCCTCCCTGGGTATCTGAGGTGGCCACAGAGAAGGCCCTAGGACAAGGACTGGGGGCCATCGGGGATCTTCACACAGGTAGTTCCAGACTTGGCCAAACTCTACTGCCAGAACTATTAACCGATGCCCTCCAAGAGAACTCAGTGTCTCTCCAGGGCTGAGGGGTATTCTGGGTGTAACAGACGTCCTCGGAGAAGCAGAGCCGTGTGGGCAGCACCTGCCATACCTCCCCTCCGAACACACGAGGAGCACTGTCCCGTATTTGCAAGGCACTAGCTTGTAGAACAACAAAAAGATGCTAGAGGGAACCGTGGGGGTGCAGCCCTCGAGAGGCCCAGAGGCGGCTGTCCACTCACTACAGGCTGGCCCTTAGCCCAGACTCCTGAGGCCACCATCTGCTGAAGCCTCAGACCCCAGGCTCAGCATTCTGGGAGCCCACAAGGGCACAGAGAGGCTGTTGTGACTGGGGCCCCCAAAGGGGATCTGCCGGGTCAAGAAAGCAGCAGGTCCAGGAAGACAACTCCACTGGGACACGCTGGTCTTTTCCCACCAACTGGGAGGGGAAGATGCGCCCAGCCCAGGCAGGGTGCTCAGGGATCCAGAAAGTGACGTGCACATGTGAGCCCCATCCAGGTTCCAGCAGCGGAACTGTCCTCAGGGAAGCACAGGCATCCAGAGTCCCCGAGGACGTCCTCTCTGCCTCGTACATCCCGAAACTTGTACACAAGGAGACAGATGCTGCCGGCCAGACGGGCAAGGACTTAAGTCCAGTGGGCCACTCTCTGGGGGTGGAGCAGTCAGAGTACAGAGGTCTTGAGGACAAACCACAGATAATAAAGCTTTCCGAAAAAAACTTGTATAAAAAAAATAATAAATGGTCTCAGCTCCAGGTCATCGACCTGCGATGGGGGTGGAGGAGCTGAAGGAGGCACTTGGGTGGGCAAGGAGGGTCTCAGCCCGGCCCCACATGACACAGTCCTTTCGGCAGTGGGGCCAAGGCACTGGGGCGCGGAGCCACCCCGGCCTGGGCTACACCTGGCTGATAATCTCTCCGTTCTCAGGCACAAAGACTTGCACTGGGGTCCCCTCGGGCGACCTCCGGAGTACACACACTGTGGGCACCTAAGGGGTCAGGAAAAAAGGAGAGGGGGTGAGCGAACCAGGCGGCAATGTCAGGGCAGCAAGCCCAGTGACGTCACCCTTCTCCCCAGGCATGGCCCAGGCATGCGGCACTGTAAATGGCCCAGGCACACAGCCCTTGCCTCCCCCACCAGACTCTGTCCCCCCAGGGACCACCCTCTATCCAATTTCACTCCAGGCTCTCTTGGGGTGTGACAAGCACCCTGACCTCCTTCCCGCCTTTCCTGGGCTCATCATCGCCTTCCCTGTCTGGCAGGTTGGGCCAGGCTAGGCCTGGCTCAGAACAGGTCCAAGCTCGCAGGAAGGGCAAAGACGCCAGCTGGAGGGTGTGGCCTGGGACGAGGGCCAGGGTGCTGCCAGGCCCAGAATGCCAGCTGCAGTGCAAAGAACGGGTGGGGGGGAGGGATGTGCAGCTGGGCCTGCTGGGAGTCTGGGGTCTCAAAGCAGCAGCTTGTTGGCAACTTCTGGAGCACGCTCCCACAGAGCTCTCCGTACCAGGGGCAGGAATAGAGAGTGGATTCATGTATGTTGTCCGCACTTGCAGAAGGAAGGAGCGGGGTCTGCAGAAGCCAAGGCTGCCACCCCACCAGAGGTCAGGTGCTGTTATATACGATCCTCAGCCCGGGCCCTGGATGGCACCAGGACCTGGTGGTCCAGCATTTGCCCTGCATTGCTCTAGACACCTCAGCCTCTCGCCAGCCCTGTAAAACAGCTCCTTCCCCATGGTCATTTACAGAGGGGAGCAGGTGGCCCAAAGGGCTCAGCGACTGCCCAATCCTGTCGCCTCTAAGCAGCAGGACTGGCGTCCGGACCTGGTGGTCTAGCCTGAGGGTCTGTGCTCCTCACCATCAGGCCACTCTGCTTCTCAGGGGCTGCTATGCAGGGGTGTCGGGGAGGAAGTGGGGTACAAAGGTCCTGGCTCTGCAGACATGTTTCCAGACTCTCCAATGTCCTAGGCCCTCAAGTCAGGAAACTGGGGGGTTCTCTTAGACTGGGCTTTGGCCAACTGAGGGGCCTACCTGCTTTGTGGACCACCTGGATCATAGGGTAAAAAACGGGGCACTCAGAGACCAGCTGCACATGCTCGTGAGCAGCTAGACACGGCTTTAAACCCACGTGCCAGGGAAGTGTGTGCTTCCTCTGTGAAGAGGAAACGGCTTTAGGGCTGCTTCTTCCTAGCCAGGGTTACCGGGTCATTGGCTGGAGGTCCCTCTGCTCTCAGGCCTGGTAGCACAGGCCCTCAGCTGGGCTGGACGCCCCTCCTGCCCGACCCCGAGGTCCCTCCCTATGGCCCTACCTGTGTCCGAGGCCCCAGGGCTCTGCCGAAGCTCTCTCTCCCGGGAGGCAGGCTCCTGACACGGAAAGCCCCGTGGCGGTCGAGCGAGTGTGGGCGAGCACTCCGGAGACGAGCCCGCTCGTGCCACCACTTGAGCTCCTCGGAGACGGCGGCCCTGCTGAGCCCGCGGCCGGCCGCGGGGCTGTCCTTCAGGGAGGGCGTGCGCACGATGCGGCTGTGGGAGGCCACCAGGCGCTGGTAGCGCAGGGGAGCGCCGTCCGCCTCGCAGGTGGCACCCAGGGCGGCGCGGCACCGCTCCCACTCGCCGGGCGCCCAGCCCCCGCGGTGGCGAGGAAGCTCCGGCGGGGACAGAGGGCGCAGGAAGATGTCCGGGCTGCTGCTGCCCGGCGAGGTGGGGTGGGAGACGCTGGAGACGTCGGAGCCGCTGTCCTCCGAGCAGGAGTGGCAGGCAGCGGGGGGCAGCGGAGGCTTGGTCGCAGGGAAGCAGGAGTCTGGCACTGTCACCGTGTAGTGCGTGGGGCGGCGGCGGGGAAAGGCGCTGCGACCCCGGCCCTCGGGGACCACGCGGAAGGAATCCACCCTGAGGAGAGAAAGGGAGCCGTGCTGAGTCTGGGGGCATGGCGGAGGGAGCTAAAGGGGAGGAGGGGCAGATGCTTCACCTCAAGGCCAAGGCACAGTTCACATCCGGGTCCTAGGTTAAACCTTTCCAAAGCCAACCAGCCTCCTCCTGGCCCAGGGAGCGCCTGCAGCACGTTCCCCTCCGAGCCTGCTACACCCCGCACTCGTGGGTAGTGTAAACCGTGCCACATCCATGCCACATCCATGTGGGATGCCACTTATCTGAAATGTTTGGGCCCAGAAGTGTTTTGGTTTGGGGATTCTTTTCAGATTTTAGAACATCTACATGTACTGAGATTTCTCAGCAGCAGGCTCCAAGTCTAAACAGAATTCACCTATGTTTTATACACACCTTACACATCTAGCCCGAAAGGCATTTTATGGAATACTGTTTGCATTGCAGCATTCTGGCTGCGACCTGCCACGTGAGGTCAGGTGTGGAATTTTCACTTGTGGCATCATGTTGGCTCTCAGAAAGTTTCAGATTTTAGGGGGCCAGGCAGTGAAGCAGTGCTAACACAACTGGCCCCACATGGGAAAGCTGCCAGATTATCGCGCCAGGACCTCCCTGAGCACCCTGGGCTGTTGAGACCAGGGTGGACCTGGCCTCGATTCTGCTACCGCCCTGGTTGGGGCCATATCTGCACTTTTCTAAATCCACAAGAAGGCACGGTTGTAAAATGACCCAGGTAGTACAGAAAACAGAAAGTGCACTGCTTTACTGAGAGCAGCCGCGGTAAGCTGCACCCAGGTCATCGCTGCTCAGAAGCAAACCGAAGCCAGAAGAGTTGAGCAATGCTTCGATGTGCCCCGGGCCCCGTGTGGTTTGGCCAATGCTGCCTGTCAGAACCCAGCTACTTAAACTATTACCAAGTAGCACTTGGAAAGGAACGTAGTCAAATCCCATTATTGGCAGATTCCATGTTTGTGAACGTCAACTTGCTAAAATTTATTTGCAATTCCAAAATCAATAAAACATAGTGCTTTCAGTTGCAGGACAACAAAACATCTGAGTTGTTTATCGCACACATTCTCAAACCCATGCTCTTCCTTTTTTGGCATATTTATTTAGTGTATGTTTTTCTTATATTTTTGTGCTTTTGTTTGGTGATTATGCTGTTTAAAATAGAGCCAGGGTGCCAGCTCCACAGCCTGCTGGTTAAAGGAGCCAGATCCAAACCTGGCCTCAGTGGTTTGAAAACTATGCCAGGCAGGGCCAGCAGATGGCAGAGCAGTTATGTGGCTGGACTCACACATGGCTGATCACAGTTCAAGTCCCAGATCCAGTGACTTGAAAATTATGCCAGGTGCATGTGTGTGCATGCGTGCCCAAGATCCCAAGAGGAGAATAGAGGAGAAGGGATTGCGGCGTGACCATCCCCCCTGGGGGGTGATTTCTCACATTCCCTCTCACTGTCTCTGTCTCTCTATTTCTGCAAGCGCACACACATCCTAAGGCAAAAACCTCTAAAAAAAAAAAAAAAAGAAGAAGAAAGAAAAATATGCCAGGCACATATGCATACCCCAAATCCCAATAGGATGGAGAAATGAAGGAGAAGGGATTATGGCATGACCACAGCCCATCTGGGGGAGCCTTCTGTCTCTCCCTCTCTCTTTCGCTGTCTTTGTCTCTCTGGCTCTCTTTGTCAAGCATAGAAATTCTCTGGCAATTTTAATTAATAATTAATTTGTTAATTAATTAAAATAGCCCCAGATGTTGGGTTGAAGTGCTGCCTGGTATTCCTAAGGGTGGGGAAGCTGTGATGGAGAAAACACAGGTGCCAGGTAATCTTCATTCACACCTCAGCTCTGGTGCTGCTGTCTAAGAGCCCAACGAGAAAACCAACAGTGTATAGCAAATAAGCTGTCTTTCAACGGAAACACAGGAAACAAGGCTCTGTATTGATCGGTTGATAAAAACTGTGATCAAAGGCTCCTGGGAACCACCCTGTTTCCCCTCCAGGCAGGGGTTCAGCATTTACTAAATCAGCGCTTGTGACAACGTTATAGCGACCAGGAGTAATGAGAATCACCTACGTCAGTTGAGAAAGAGAATTGCCCGTCGCCCATGACCTGTATAAAGCAGTCGCCAGGGTATCCACTAGTGCAAGAAAACTGGGCAAATGCAGGAAACTAGTTACATAAACCCCCAAACAGGGGCCTTTGGATAAAACAAACTGCCTTGTGTGTGACTTTTGTTTAATGTTGCTGGCTCAGGTACAGCCTCGTTTGAGAAGTGCCCCAGGAAGGGACACCAAGGAGAAAACATGGTACTTGCCATGTGACACCCAGGGTGTCCCACCTGGACCTTGGTTAGAAGCTACCACCCTCCTGCTATAAGTTCTGGAAGGTGGGTCTTTCCCATCTCTCTGAACTGGGCTGTCTCTTACCTCAGGGACTGCGACTGGCCCCTTCTGCCTTGCATGTCGGGAGTGGCTGGGGCACTGGTGCGACCCTGCCGCTGGCTGGGAACACTGCGGACAGGAACCACGGGAACCACGTGGTAGGAGACAGGCTCTGGCAGCCAGGAGCTGGGGGCGCTGGGCCCATCCTGGGGCGTGGTGGCCGGGCTGCTGCAAGGGGATTGGATA